CTGCTCAGCTCGGGCCGGGCATCGAACCGCTGTTGCTCAGAGCTCAAACTCTTGAGCGAGCTCTTAACCAACTGAGCCACTCGGCCGGCCCCCTCCCCTTTCTTAATGCAGTGTAGAGCTTCTTCCTTGATCATTTCACGTTATGACACTTCCTGCCTTATATTTCCATTTTGGGGATCCTTATTTTACTGCTATATACTGTAGGTAGGCTTTCGTAGACGACTGGTGAAATCACCCAGTATGATGACACACATATGGGTTTTTTAAGGGTAACAGATTTCTGTGAAAGAACTTCAGGTATCAGAGAATAGCTATTTCCAGAATTCTGAAATATTACAGATTTACAAAGAGCATATGGAAATAATTATCTTACCAAGTGTTTCCTTGTGTTCTACCATCATGATCCCCAAAGGTACTGTATGAACCATCATTGTGCTTATAATTCAACTGTCTTTGGTACCCTGAAAAGGAAGTTTTCATAGATTTATGATATAGCAGAGACATTGGAAAATTAATCAGTCTTTTCCTTAAAACTTGAGGAGTTGTAGGAAAACTGCGATTTTATTAAAATATCTCCAAGACTTGATGATGTCGTCGAATTTTCTGATTGTAAAGTGACACATTCTACTGGATATCACAGCAAAAATAATGATTAAATCTTAACCAAAAGGATACTGATTTGAGTTCACTGAAGGAGATACTTAGGGACTCAATTAAGGTTTCTTCTACTGGGGAAATCTCTTACCGCTGATGAGGTGGTTGATAGCTTTGGACTTGATCTTCTCTGTCAACTGTCGTGTCTCATTCAAATAATTCAGAACATAGATGTTAGGGACAAAAAGAACCATATTCTGCTCTCCACAACCAAAGGGCATCTGGAGAAGATTCTGAAGATTTTGCATTGCAGAGCCTAGTATATCACCTGGGGAATGAAAGATGCAGAAAAATCAGAGGAACCCAGAGCTGATTTATGTTGGGATAGGAATATAGATTACTAGCCAAGTGAGAGGTCAAGTCACTTATAGAGGGATGGACAAGAAAGTATAGGAAGTGGAGAAAACAAGAAATAGAAAAGAAAGAGAAGCGTAGGCACAACAAAGTATATGATTCAAGAATGGAAAAACAAAACAGGGAAAAACTGAATGGCAGGATACATCATTTCTGATGAGCCACATATCTGGTTAAAACCAACTATATTCAAATCTATTAGGAAGCATCACCACATATTCAACCTCTTGAAGATAAAGACACAGAGAAGTGGCCCTTCTTACATTTTAGAGTATAACAAGATATATGCCACAACATCTACTCATCCCCCTTTCTGACTAACACACAATGCAATCCTTACTTTAGTGCCTTTTCTCTCAATCCAATGTCAGGCGGCAGTGACCTCATTAACCATGGATGGTGAGGCCCCAAGCACTAGAATTATGGAGATGGACAGCTGCTTCCTTTGGGCTGGAAGACTCACCCAAAACTGAATATGTCGCCCTGGAAGATCCTTCAACCACATTTGATGGAACTTTTAGTGACAATTTTTCAGGTACTCCTGTTTCTAATGAAAGAAAACAAACAAACAAACAAATATATATATATATATATATATATGAAGGAAAAAACAAGAGAAATGTTCTCTTTTGTTTGCATATTTTTTCTCTATATGATCAAAATCCAACCTCTTATTTCTCTTGGTCATTACATAATTGTTTGATGCAATCCAAATTTTTTCTAAAGCCATGATTCATCTCATAGTGAAGTTCATATTAATCATATTATTTGTGTTAAATTTCTTTCCGCCTATACTTTACAGTATACTTATTTCTTTCTCTTCATTGTTTATGTTAATTTATACTATTGTTAGCATTTTAAAAAATCACATTTATTCCATAATATTAATGTGCATTATAATATTTATGTGTATTAAGTGTGTGCTATGTACAAATTCTGTTTTAAGTATGATATAGCAATTTTCAAAACAAATTTCCTGACTTCCTGGAATTTCCCTTTTTTTTTTTAGCTGAGCCATCCTGCCACAGCAGCAGCTCAGCTCGGGCCAGGAGCAGCTCAGCAGCAGCTCAGCTTGGGCCAGGATTTGAACTGCTGTTGCTCAGAGTTCACACTCTTGAGCAAGCTCTTAACCAACTGAGCCACTTGGCTGACCCTGGAATTTCCCTTTTAATGGGAGTAATAAGATAACAAATAAATATTTAGTATAATAGATGTTAAGTTCTATGGAGAAAATTAAAGCAGAGTGTTTATATGAGTGAGCAAATAAGTCAAGGCAAGTCAGGAAGTACAGGGTATGGGGAGAGGGCTACCTACTAAAAAACTCATTGATAAAATAAATCATAGGTGATTGGAGACTTGCAGGAAGTCAGGGAGTAAGATTTATAGATATTTGGGGGAAGAGACTTCCAGGAAAATGGAACAAAATGTGAAAAGACTGTATAGATTAGAGCACCCTGGATGTGCTCCAAGAGCAGATTAGACCTGAAGTTCTTCTTAAAATAGCTTGTTTAAGTAAAAAACAAAACAAAACATGAGTACATTTAAACTATTAATTGAATAATAGATAGTACTAGCTCCACACAGATATTTCAATTTTTTGAAAATAGTTTAGAGAGAAGTTTGGGAAACACAGTTTTGTATTGGAAAGAATCCTGCCCTACTGTCATCTGCTTTCATCCTCATTGTTAGCCCAGAGCTTTTAGATATGTCTTTTAACTTCTCTATGCCTTCACCAGGAAAAGGTTGTTCTTCATCAGATGTCCTTAGATTTGTGCATGGGCAAGTGTGCAATTTTTTTTCCCCAGAGAAACACATGCCCCAAAGGACATACATATAACCATATATTGGGTTGTTGGAAAAGTCATGACGTATTTTTTCTATGTTTTCCATTGCAAAAATGCGTCATGACTTTTCCGACAACCCAATACTTTGGCAAGTGGCTTAACATGAGAATTTTGTCTATTTTTGACACTTACCTGATGCACAGAGGAGTGTGTTGAAAGTTTCCTCCTTTTCTATTCCTTCAGGCTTTATATTGAAATAAAAAAGTCAAAAAGTAAAGTGACACAATGTATAAGAGAAAAAGCAATCACTTTAGGGGAGAAAATGTTAGTAAAAAGTTGAGTTGTGGATACATCCATATTTGGGGGAATTAAATGTCACTGTCACATACATTATTATATAATAAGACCTCTGAGGAAGTATACCTGCATACCTCGACTAATAAGGGCTTCACTACAGTATCCTTCTGTCCAAGTGCTGGGACGTTAGGCACCTCATTGCCACACAATTCCTGAGATTGCAGAGCTTCCGCAGTAGCTGTGAAATTCATCTTTCCTGGGAAATAAGATTCTTAAGGAGTTAAACAGTGATTCCATATGGTATGTTGTTTTTTTGTTTTGTTTTTTGTTCTTTGATTTCCCCAATTTATGTAATGGTTTTCTTTCCATCAATCATTGTTAGAGGGTAAAGAGGAAAGCAAATCATTACAACATAAGA